CTTTCATTATTTAACAAATCCTCCCCCAGGTCCACTCCACCATGTAGCCATCGCTCTAGACTCCTGTCATGACCGAAATACCGAATCATATATCTCTTTTAAACAGTTTTCTCCCTTCTCTGTTTCAGAGCAGCATACATTGGCATCAATTCTTTTTCAGTCTCCCTTATACGTTGCCCACATTTTAGATATATAGGAAGCAATTGAAAATACCCTGGATTGGATCAAGTACGCCTTAGTCTTTAAACTGACATCCTTACTCTTTGCCACTTTAAAGTGGTCCTTCCTTGACAGCAGATTTTCCCAATGTAACATGTCTTTGATTTCTTCACTGCTGTTAACATTGGTGTAGTTTGTGGATCCAAGTAAAATTTAATCATTGACAATCTCAGGCTTGTCTTCTTCTATCACTATGTTGACTATTGATCCAGTAGTAATTCTGTTTTCTTGATGTTGAGGTATAACACATATTAAAGTCTGTAGTCATTGATCTTCTTCTACAGTAAGTGTTTTAACTCTTCACTTTCTACAAGGTTGTGTCATCTGCATAAAGCTGCTGGTAAGTCTGCCTCCAATCCTGATGCCATCCTTTTCTCCATATAGACCATCTCCTCTAATTATTTACTTAGCACATTTTGAATATGTATGGAGAAAGAGAGACTGGTCCTTAGAGAGGGACATCATGCTTGGGAGGGTGGAGGGACAGCGCAGGAGAGGAAGGCCCTCTATGAGGTGAATTGATTCAGTGACTGGGATAATTGGGATGGGAGTGTCGGAGATAGTGCAATTGGCACAGGACAGAGTGGAGTTTAGGGCTGTTGTGCATAGGGTCGCTATGAGTCGCAGGCGACTCGACGGTACATAACAACAACAACAACATGGAGAAAGGATATAATCCTGAGGCACACCTTTCCTAATTTTAAACTGTGCAGTATTCCCTTGTTTGGACAACTCTTTCTTGATCTATGGATAGTTTTCTCAGGAGCACAATTAAGAGTTCTGAAATTCCCATTCTTTTTTTTTTTTAATTTTACATTGGTTTGCCTATAAAATGTGTATACATTGTGTTTCACACTATCATTTCATTCACATTGCTTCAATCATTCTCATTCATTGCTTTATAAAATCAATCACCATTAAATCATGTCCATCATCAACCTGTCTTTCCAGATCCCTGCCAGATCTTTCCCATTTCCTTTACTCCTCCACCCACCCACCAAATTGTGCAACCCTATGATTTCCCCACTGCCCACCCTCAACCCTCTGTTCCTACCCTTCCCCCCACCTTGGATCCCTATACACATTTTACTAGTTATCCTTTTGTTTTTATAATAATGGTCCTATGCAGTATTTATCTTTATGAGACTGAGATAGGTCATTCAGCATAATGACCTCCAGTCTCTCCCAAGTTATGCAATCGTTGAAATTCTCATTCTTCTTCATGTTGTATTAAGATTCCTATTACCTAAAAAAAGTTTTTCCATGTCATTTAAATGTTTTCCATTACTGAAAAGTCATAATTTCAACAACAACAAAAAAATTCAAAGCCAGAAAGAATTCAGTCTTAAAAAGGCCAACATGGATTATTCACCAAGCCTCTTTTGTGTTCTAGATTCACAAAGTACAGAAATAAATCACACATGTCTCAGCTCTTGAGACAAACAAGGAGACAGGAAGTGACAGGATAAGGCCCTGAGTGGGGAAGGCAGAGGAACCTGTGCACATGATAATTCAGTCAGAAAGACCTCTCAGAGGATAAGTCACTGAGATGAATAGTGAAGGATGGGCAGTATTTCCAGCAGAAAAGGAGGCAGTGGAGGACATAATACCAACAAAAGAGAAAGCACATTGTAAAATCACATTGAAAACACCCTCTCCTGCCTTCTTCATGCTCCAGCATCTCCAGGCCTCAACATCTCTTGTGCTTACTGAAGTTTCTCAACAAGCCAACTTCTCCCAGGATGACAGGAGGGTCATAAGCTCTATCCGTGTCCTTACCCACAGTAAGCCATCTTGTCCCTCAACCCACCGACCCAGCCTATTCTTTCTAACTCAAAGCTTCTGGGAAGCATAAAACACTTCTAAACAGCAGGAGGTTTCTGTGCCAATATGGTGGTTGTTCAGTTCTGTCAAACTGGAAGTGCCAGAGGGTTTTCAGAGACCATAACTCACTCAGGAGGAGACTGCCCATCTTTCTTTCACAGAGAAGTTGGTAGATTTGAACCACGTGCCTTCAGGTTGGCAGTACAACTCCTTACCACTAGGTCTCACCAGAGCTCCCATGGCAATATTGAGGCCTCCTCAAAGTCCTCTTCACTCCAAGGAATGACAGGCCAGTGACCCATCTGACCCACAGCATGTCCGGTCCCACATCCCCTAGTAAGACCCCACACAGACTCAGATGAAAACACATGACACAGCAGGACACCGAGGGCCAAATGTTCCCCTTTATTATGGTTTACTCAGTTACCACGGACAGACATACTGGCTCAGGCAGGTCAGCTGCCAGCTAGGGAATAGTCTGTCTCCCAGAAACAAGGATGGGTGGTAGGCACCAGGAGAATGCAAAAGCGGATCACTGGCTGGCCAGGGTTCAGGAGTGCCAGAACTGACCTGGGCCCTTCCCCACCTCACTTCACCCCCCAAGCCAAGCCATCCAGCAAACATGGATCTGTGCCCACTCCTCATTTCTCATACTAGTTTCCTCCCCAGGAAAGTGCATAGTTGCCTGGAGATGCAATGTCCAGAGTCTGGGTTCGTTGGGCCACACACATGCCTCCCCATGGGCAGGGGCAGGCCATGGCCACAGAGGGCTGAGCCAAGGAGAAAGGACAGGAAGGACAGGAAACCAAATAGAGGTGTCACTGAATGGGTCACGGATGCCAGGCAGGCAGCTGGACCACATGCCTCCTGGAGCCACCAGAGAGACTTAGGGAGAGAGGATTTAGAGATCTGGGGTGGGGAAAAGGGAAGACAGGGCCTGGCCCTCTGTCTCCTTTTCAGGTACTAGGAACTGTGACAACTGCTTCCCCGGCAGAAAGTGGGAATGGAAAGAGCCAATCACACAGTTTGTGACCCAAGTCCAAGGGGCCACTTCAAACTCCCTGCTTTCAAGTCAGTTCCAAGTCACAGCGACCCTCCATTGGGTTTCTGAGGTTAGAAATCACAACAGGAGGAGATGCAACACTTGCTATAGATTGTGCCACCAGTAGGAAGGGAATTTCTCAGAGATGTTTGGCCTCTTTTAGAGGGATGTGAAGTACCTAGAGTTCAAAGGTCAGGTAGCCTGGAAGCCCCAGGGTTGAGTGTCAAGCTGGAACGTGCCCAAAGTAGCCAAGCAGGGTTTGGCTTTTTGGACCAGGCCTCTCAAGTGGGCTTCTGCTGGAAAGGGGCCGTAGGAAATGAACAAGTGCTTTTTATGTGAGAACTCATTCCCTTCCAGGTCTCAGAGGGCGCTGGGGCCTCCACCAACGACAGTCTCAGACTGTTTGGAACAGAACAAGCCTCAAAGACTCCCCTAGAAGAGGATATTGGGGACAGGGTGAGGAAGGGCCAAGAACCAAGTCCTAAAGGCAGAGGGAAGCAAGTTATGTCAATTAAAAAAAACAGCCACTCCCTACCCCACCTGTCCTGAAATCCCACTCGGGCCATTGTGCTTGCAGCTAGGATTGGGCCTGTGCTTCATTCTGGGTCCTGAGTTCAAGTATCCGGAACTGCTCTGTGACCAAGAATAAGCTGGCGTTGAGGAGGTATGTGCTTCCCTCAAGGAGCCCTGCCTGCCTTCTCTGACCTTCCCTTCAGGCCTAACCTGCTGAGCCCTCCAAGACCCACACGGAATGGCTACTGCTCCCAGGAATCCAGGGTTCACTCAGAGATAGCTAGAACCTGATCAGTGGGCTTGGGCCAGCCAGACCTCACCCTGGGACCAATAATAATGTACATGTCCTCTGCTCCACCTGTACTTTTATACCTGACAACTGCTTGGATGTGAGCTACCGTCTTAAGGAAGGCAGTGGAATCTATCCTTACAGATGGTGATGCAATCTGGCATGAGGTGGGGAGGGATAGGCAGTCAGGCCCGAGCAGCTGGGGTGATGGGGAGGAGCACAGGCAGAGGGCCTAAGAGGACTCCAGAGGAGATGGGGAAGGACTCTGGGAAAAGGAGGAGGAGACAGGGAAGGGAAAAAAGAAGCCTGCATATAAGAGTCAAACCCTCAGAGTCAAGGAGACTGGGCCTACATCCCACTCCCCGGGAGTCAGGAACCAGATGGGTGCTGATCTCCAGCTGTGTGCCTACCCACACCAGAGCTAAGGCTCCGCTTCTTCGTCAGCTTCCTGGATCTGACAGGGGGCGCTCTGGGGAAGGGAAAGCCCCCTGGAGAAAAGAGAGCCCCTGGGCAAGGGAGATGCATAGGGAGCTGGATAGCAGGGAAGAGACCCAACCCAGATGGATGAGAAGGAGTGAGGGAAGTACCCCTGCTTGCCCACACCCTCCCACCTACCACCACCAAAAATGCTAAGTACTGTTGCTTCCCAGAAGACCCATTCTGGAAAGTTTGGGCTTGTAACCCTAGGAAAGGGGTGGGGGGAAGTCAAGCTCTCTGCCCAGCTTTCCTCCACCCCAAGCAGTCCTTGGGTCAGAGGGGGCAAGTCTGGTAGAAGGTAGGGGGCTGGTTTAGTTCTAAACACACATCTAGCACCACAACAACAGAGACCTCCACTGTACACGATTTCACAAGGGGGTACAGACACAGCTACCGCTGCACGGGACAGCGCCACGTGCCGCCCACAGCCTGTGAGAGCAGAACCCAAAGTGAGGAGGAGGGGATAGACATGTACATATATATATTCACATATATATATATATAACTCTGATTCCTCTTTGTACAAAGTCGGGGAGAAAGAGAAAAGGGAAGGGGGAACCCTGCTTGGTCACCACAAAAGCTGTGGCTTGAGCCCCCTGTCCCACTGGCCCCCAGCCCTGCCTCCCAGTGGCTGGCTCACATCTCATTAGAGTATGTGTAGTTGGGGGTGGCAGAATACTGGGTCTGTGGCTGATTCATGGCACCCTGGGCCGCCCCCATGGCTGCGTTCTGGGCTGCCTGCTGCACATGCGGGTTCTTCCATGCCCCTGTGGTCCATTCCTCCTGAGCTTTGCTAAAACTGCCTCCGCTGCCCCGGTAGAATTTATGAACCTGCAAAAGGAAGAGCACAAACAAGGGTTAATCACAGGGAAGAGGCAGCCTGCTGGGGAACTGATGGGGCCCAAGTACAAGTAACCATAAAAAAACACCTTCTTTCTCCACCCATCACCTATACATTAGTGGAAAATTCCGCCAGGTATATCCAGAGTGAATCCCTTAGAGGACCTCTGGATGCTCCTGTAATTTGGAGGAGGGGTTGTCACAGATCAGCATCCCTTCCCAAAGTCACCGTCTTGCCTCTGAGGTGGTCACATACCATGCTGAGGGCTATGAAGGAAAAGACTGCCATGACCGTGAACATGATGGTGGGAATGAGCATCACCACCGCAGAGCCAACGTTCGTTCCAAAGAAGGAGATAGTGGCGATCCAGCCGCTGCAGGAAGAGGTCAGCTGTGGGACACCCCGGGCACGGTGTGGGGTTCCCAGCATATCCCACTGAAGCAAGGGACTATTCCATTGCCTCATATCAATGACATGCAAGAGTTATGTCACTAGATGCAGAGAGACTACCTCAGTCATTATCACATCAGTGAGTCAGGAAAAGTCCTTCCCCTGAGGACTGGGAGTCATGCATGGCCAATACACTCTTCCTCCCTCCAGGTTCTCCCACAGTGGGAGGCATTCCTTCCCCCACCTCCCTGCAGTAACTGCTAAGCACTTCTTCCTTTGTGAGTCTGTGCTATGTCTACTGCGTTACCCTTAACTCTAAAAGAAAAAAAAAACAAACAGCCACACACTATACAGCTTAGCACACAGAAGCCAGCAAAGGACACGCTTACCAGCCCCTGATCAGCTCCTTCCCACTTACCAAACACCCCAGCCTGGGATACCCACAGCCTGAATGATGCTGATGACCAGCTGGGCCATGAAGGTGAAGAAAAATGCCATGAAGCTAAAGGAGCTGTCAGTCCTGCAACAGAGGAGATGGCTCTCATCACCTAAGCTTAAGGGCCAGGGCTTCTCCTCCTTCAAGGTCCCCGAGCCTCTCTAAGTTGAAGTAAGTAAACAAAGAACAGAAGATATTTACTGGTCTTAAGTGAGGGTCCAGGATGGAACACCTTTTATCCATGGAGCTCTGGAAACTTCCATGTATTGGGTCTGTCTGCACAACATTACAAAGGAAAGGATCCCCTGATGAATGGACTACCCACCACTGCATGGATATACAGCCTCAATGGCACAGAAATAGATGGCTCCATCGTGGCAGGAAAAGAACTCATTGCTGAAGGTACGGACAGTCCCCCTGGCACCTAAAGAGCAAGCTCTATTGGTTTAGTAATAGTTGGTCCCAGAGACTCAAGAGTTTTAAAGTCCCATTGGCCATAGGATGGATGAACACCTTATTAGCATCAAGATAAAGGCCAAGCAGACACAAAGATGGGTGGTCCTGTTAGCAAAGAGATTTAAGGACCCAATGGCACTTACATGGCTAGCTTATCGGATAGAGACAATGTTATTGGCATATAAATGAACAGTCTCATTGACACAAAGACTGAAAACCCGATTTGGCACTACGATGGACACCCACTGGCACCAGGACAGCTGGACTCATTGACACATGGATGGGCGATCCTTTTGGCACAGAGCTGGATGTGACTTCATGTGCTAACGAGGTACATGGTATTACATGCACCACATGTTAATAGTATGTGGTGGGTTGGCACATGGATAAATGCTTTCTTGGCACCAAATCAGCAGGTCCCACTGATACAAAGATAGGCATCAGGACTGGTAGCTTCTGGGAAAATGCATCATGCAGCTGTCTGGGAAAGGAGACGGGAGAAGAAAACCAGATCGCAACTCTACGTTGCGTACACCTAAGGAGAGAGTGAGGAGGAGCGCTAAGCAAAGACTTGGTCTCCTACACTTTGACCTCAGTCTGGAGGCCCAGGAAGCCCAAGCCCTACTTGGAAGTCTTAGGAGTAAAAAAATAAAGAGAAGGGACAGTGGAAATGGGCAAAGTGACAAGCCTAGAAACTGGGGTCAGCACCAACCACTTACTTGAAGGCCTTGTAAATGGGCCGAAACCAGCAGACATAGGAGCAGGGTGTGAAGAGGATGAGCCAGAGAAAGGCGAGGCCAAAGTTGGTGGCTCCCCCGCCTCCGATCAGCCACGCGAGACAGCCCACCAGGTTCACGGCCAGCGTGACGCTGTTCACTGCAGACCCAGGAGAACGTGCACACAACAGAGACAGAGACACACACATGCAGAGACAGCCAAACCCACGCAGAAATATATAAATACCCAGACATGCACACATATATCCCCAACTCAACACAGATCCACAATCAGACGTGCAAATACAAGCACAGAGGTGCAAACAGGTAAGAATAGATACACACGGTCACAAATACACACCAATGTGTCACACAGACACAGATTCACATCCATGAACCCACATGCATTCATACAAACACACAGGAGACAGATACACAGGATACAGAGACATACACACACAAAAGGAATACAGATTGTAAGAAAGAAAGCTGAGTGCTCAGATCAATCCCCCTCCTCCTCACACCTGCCCCAAGGGAGAAATCTGGAGAGTTAAGTCTCCAGAGCATCAACCCAGCAAGCTTTTTTGTGGTTTCTCAAAGTTTCAGGGTGGCAGGAATACTTTTCTTACTCATATATCTGAACCCAGGAATCACAATTATTACCAAGTGATAACCAGCAGGGACCTACAAGACTTCATTTACAGATGAGAAACCTGATCTTGCCACTAGCAATACCCAGATCACTGACATCAGGGAATTCACCTCCTCAAACATTAGGCTGAATTCTTTTATTTCCACAAATACCTGTTGCACAAATACCTAAACAAAGGAAGGTGGACTCAATTTTGGCTTCACACAGTCAGGTATCTATATTCTAAGCTGATGTATTGAACCCTTAAGCATCTCAAGAGTTTTATACATTTCCTTGGGTGCTAAGCATCTGGCAGATGTCTAATGAGGACTTAGGGAGATATTAATAGACCTTAAATACAGCTTCCAAGTGAGAGCTTCTGCTATCAGGGATGGAGTTCCTGGAGCCCAGGGTCAGGCATAGTGCTCCCCAAGTCTAACTGAACCTGCCAACCCTGTCACCTGTACAGGTACACCCATCCCAGGGCACATATAATGAGGGTGGGCATTTTTTTGGAGTGTTTCAGTTATTTATTTTCTTTTGTGACTCACCTGTTCCTGTTCATTGCCACAAAATTTCCTGAAGCTGTTATTAGTGATTTTACTTGCTCTTTACATAGACAAGACATTTATTCTTTATTATACTGGTCAATATTTCTTTCTTACCATTTACCCTTGTCTCGAGCTCATTTGCATGTCAATGTCGTCCACTGAGTTGCCCACTCTTCCTCCATCTATCAACTTTTTTTTCTATTTTCACTTCTTTCCTTGCCCAACTCTGAATCCATAATTCATTACAATCATTTTTCTATTTTATCCTCTGCCCTATTTTATGGCCACTCTACTCCTAAATGGCCACAACTCCTATCTATAACTGAACTGAGCATGGCTGAGAAGTGACATGTCAGAGAATACTGGTACGACTATGAATTCACAATAGCCAGCCTCACCAGTGCATGGCCTGGAAGCCTTACCAGGTTTCTTTGAAGAACAGTATCTAAAACTTCCTCCACAAATGTGCCCACATTCTAATCCCATTCTCTCACACCACCTACTCCCATATTATACTTAACAGAGAAAAGGAAAGGCCATTAGAAGTAATCTAATTTTCTTCCTTATGTCTATGGATCTACGCATACCTCCCACCTCCCTTTCTCCTTCTCTAATGTTACCACGATTCCTTCTCTGCCCAAAGGCCATGCTAAGATTTTCATTTCATGATAGGAATTCACTCCAGTCTGTCTGTCCCCTGGGCCCATTTTTTCCTACCAATCCACAAAGAAACAAGTTACAAAAAACAGCATTCCTGAGCATCTTCAAGCAGTCAATCAATTCGTTGGGTAAATCTGGAAGCCTGATTCAAGACAGTATCACACACGGCAGACCCTGGCCTTGCTACAGGTATCCAGGGGACCATGGGGCAGGCACCCAGCCCCAAACAGTCAGTCTCATATCCCTAATAGGTACCTCCTGCTCAGTCCCAGCACAGCACATTCCCCACTATCCTACTGCAGATCATCAGAATCTGAGGTCTTCAGACTTTTAACTTCAAAAATTTAGTTAATAACCTAAACTTCTAGACAACAGGGCCATTCAAGCAGCATTGAGCTGCATGTACTAAGGTGGTTACTGAGACAATTGCCTTTTTCTACACATGAGGAAACTGCTATTCCCACAGTAAAGGGGCCTGAGGAGTCGTTGAACTCGACATCTTATCCTAACCCATTCTCATTTGAATGTTCTTCTCTTTGAGCAACTTTCTAGAAGAAGCAAAGGAAGAAAAAAAAATGGGGCTTTGGGAGTGAATTTCTCTTCAAATCTGGAATCCTGAGATCCTGGTAGTTTCCCTGGAAAATTGGCCCAGTGGGAAGGAGAGTGGGAGTGGGGAGCTAGAAGAGAGCAATTCCTCTGTCAAAAAAGAGATCCTCAGCCAAATGCCCTGTGAAGGGGAAATGGAGGAACGGGAGAAGAGGTCTAGATAGGGGCTGAGAGACACTGAGGCCCGGTAGGGAGTTAGCCCAGGGACAATGAGGCCCGGTAGGGAGTTAGCCCAGGGACACTGAGGCC